CACCGCAGCCTCCAGCGCGCGCGCACCGCAGCGACGATGCCACCTCGCCGGCGCGCCCACGACGATGTCCGCGCTCGATGCCTGCTCGCGGCGGCAGAAGGATACTGCGTCAAAACAAGCGCCAGGGCCAGTCGCAGCGGGTAGCCCGTCCTGACTCCTCTCAGACGCATGGTGTTAATTTGGACTCTGCACAAGGCCAGCTAGAAACGCACCTTGCAGGAGACTTATGCGCACGATGCGCAACATGCTGAATCCAGGTTTCACCTCTCCGACCACCGCTTTCTCTATGGACAATCCCTTCTTCTGGATCCAACGACCTTTGTTTCTGTGCCTTGTCGGCTGCCGGCGTCGTGATGCACCTCCTTCTCTAATCGTTTGGGGCGCCTGCCCATACACTCGTTTGACAGAGCATTCGCTGCTGCTTTCGCCCACCACGCACCTAACGCTCGCTGCCGCGCTTTCCTTTGTCCAGAGCAGAACAGCCACGACCTAACGAGTCCCGACGCGCCCACTGCCGACCATTGTTAAGATATCTCTGTGCGACTACGTATGCCTTCTAATTGCCAGCCTCGTTGTCCTTCCCTTACCTTCTCTTCCCGGCATGGCAACACCTCCCGAGCAGCCATGGTCTAATCATGAAAAGGTCCGTCGCTGCTGCACGTCGGCGAACCCGCCACCCTGGTAGCACGAGGATTTTTTTTCTGACATGGGTGTAGAACTACTTACTGGCCGAAATCATCAAAGCCGCCAATCCTCCAGCAAATGTGCTCTTTAGCGTAATTCAGAATGTACAACTACAGCCTCGTTGGGATGAAACCCCACTGCCACCGGGTGAGCATCACGGCGTGGACGACGACATCCTCCTACTGCACTAACATCGTTGCCCCACTTATGGATCATACTGTCTATGTGATGCTGACACATCAACAGGACGCTCACTCAACTCATGCCGCAATGCTTTCGAAGAGATGCGAAGAACCCTCCCGGTGTCCGTGGGAGCGCCAATGGGTCCAATGGCCCCAAGCCCTTTATCAGGGCCCATCCCGACGCTGAAGAGAGCTTACCCGTATGAAGCTTCGTTCACTGGGGGATCTTCTGGCCGGGAAATCAGACCCAAACTTCCAATGTCGGCTGCTGTCCATGCCCAGCCTTCGCCGACAGAGCCGCCTGCGAAGAAGAAGCGTGGTCGTCCAACCAAAGCAGAAGCTTTGGCGAAAGCGGAAGCAGCAGCTGCCTCGGTAGTGTCATATGGCGAGCCTGGACCAGTGTCGATGTCGCGTCCGGTATCGCAAAATACTCCCCAAGCTCAGACTCATCAGGCTCAACCACCACCGCCGCTTGCCGCTACCGTAGAAGATCCGGCACGGGAATCACGACCTTCCCTTCCTCCCGTTACGAGGATGCCAATAGCTTCCATGCTCACTCCTGCTCGAGAACTCGAGACTGGCAGCCAATCACAACCTGGATCCTCATCTGGGCGACGCAGACGAGCAAGGTCGACAAAGTCCGAGCCTAATGATTCACCCATCCTTCGCCCTCCTGAGACGAGCAACGAATACGAATCACCCTACGGCCGATCTGATGCACCAGATACCCCAGCAAGAGCCGCAATTTCTCGACATCGTGACGAAACGACTAGCGCGCCACGAGATATTTCTAGCACCCGCCCACCGGACAATCTCGCAGGCAGACCACCTTCCCACGAAAGCGAACGCTCGTAAATCAAAGGCACCCAAAACCTTTGCACGAACATCGACATATCACACGGCCGACGAATCACGGACCATCTGCTATTTTCTCTCTTCCTTTGTTCATACTATTACTAATTTTCATGTATAATAATCATCGAATCTGACGTTTCCACGATGGGGGGGAGGGGCGGAAAAGTGCCATTCTGGGCGATGAATTTAAGAGGAGGAGGATTTGGAGGAAATGGTATGCGTTAAGATCTGATGATGAACCTCACGGTCGTATATGCGAGACGACTTTCATTCTGAGCAATGCGAAAGGAATTGAAGAAACGATGTCTTTCAAGATCAGCTGATGTACGTCGATAATTTTGCGCCGTATGGAAATGCATGTTCGCCTGTCTGTAATCTCAGGAGTTTTAGAGATATTTGTGACGTGCATGAACGGTCTTAGCAGACAGAGCGAGCTGCTGAATGCTGAAATTGCACGAGTGAGAAGTAGTATTTGGAGACACTGCATTGATCTTCGGTCTTTTTAGACTATGCTGTTGGTCTATTCGAGCTATTACTACAACAAATTCATACAATGCCTTCGCCGTGTTAACTCCACATTCGCTAATGCATTTTTACAATCTTTTCCCAGCGGCCAAAAGACTGAGAACCGGCGAGACAAAATCATGCAGCGTTAAGCTTCTCCTCCTTCGACTCTTCTGGCTTGCCCTTGAGCTGATCTTCATGATGCTGCTCCTTCTTCTTGCCCTTTCCATTGCCATTGCCATTGGTGAGCTGCTCACGCTGCTTGACAGCGCGCTCGCGCTCCTTCATTCTTTGCTCCTCAGCCTCCACCATATCCATCCATTGATCCTCGCCAGCATATCGCTCGTGATGGATCTTCTTCTCGATCATGTGCTTGTGTGTGGGGTCGTTGGGGTCCAAAACCTTGACAGTCTCCCATCTGCCGCTGCCCTTCATGCGATCATTTCCTTCAAAGGCCAAACTGATGATAACAGCCGCGAGCGTGAAACCTTGGGCGTACACACGCGCTTGTACAAGCTTTTGTTGTGTTGACAAATATGGATTCTTTCCAACGATTCCCATTGCAGCAGAGATCGATGCAACCCATGATCCCATAACGAGGCTATATCTGTTGTCCGAAAGCCAGGCCTTGACCTTCTCACTCTGCGTTCGTTGAGCATCGAGCTGCTCTTGTAATGACGACTGCTCATCTTGGTAGTCTCGCCCGGGCTGTCGTGAAGCTTCGAATCGTCTCGAGTAGGAGTCTGCTCCGATGATGGCGGCGAACGTTCCGGCGGAGCTGACCAGGAATGCGCGAAAAGGCAATGTCAAGCTTCGAAAAGCTGGATAACGTGCTGAAGCGGCGTAGACACCCAATGCGCCCGCTGCGAGACCAGCAGCGCCGCCTCCGAAACCTCCTTTGAGCGTTGCACTGTGATGATCATTAGCTTCGTCACTTGCATTGGCTGGTCGCGTGAGGGCGATTCGTACTTGTAGTGCTCCTGCTCTTCCTCCTTTGTCGTGATCTTCATGTTGGCTGTATGTGAAAAGTTGTATCAGGATAGATGTCGCACAATGGCAAGCGAGAAATGATAGCGCAGAAAAGAGGGAAGCATGCAGTTTGCGCGCATATGATGAGATCAAAAGCATGGGCGGAAGTATAGCGGGACTCGCTCGATGATGACTTCACACGTCGAAGCTCGGACAACTTCTGCGAATTCTCGCCTGCAGCCCTAACAAGGGTCCGCCGCTAAGCAACCACCAACTGCTGCTTTCAGGCAGCTTTGTCAACTTTTTTCTGCCTTAATCAGCTTCGCGTGCGACTACGGTGCAAGATGGCGCAGAAACAGCATGCTGCCCGGCCGCGCCCGGTCGATGTCGATGCGAGTGGCGAGGATATGTCGGAAAAGGAATTTCACAGCGAGGAGGATGCCAGCATGGACGACGTCTCGGGCAGTGAGGACGAGCACAGCGATACCGATATTTCAGACGAGGAATCAGCCGATCCCGGACAGAGCTACGAGCAGCAAATTGGCAACCTCTCATTCGGCGCGTTGAAGCAGGCTCAAGATGCTGTGTCCAGGAAGCGGAAGAGAGGATCAGATACCACGCCAGATCAGGAAGACAAATTAGCAGCACTGAGAGATCGATTACGGCAAATTAAGGAGCAGAAGGCCAGCAAGACGTCGGAGACCAGCAAAAGCGCGAAGAAACCAAAGCCAGCGAATCGTGCGCCCAGCGATGATGATGATAGCGAAGACGATTCAGATTCCGACTCAGACTCTGGCCCATCTGAAGAGGATGCGCCGAACAAGTCGCGTACATCGAAGCATGCCCCAGCCGCTCAATCGACCAAGTACCAGGTCTCGCGGAGACGGCAAGTGGTAGACGTGCCCAAACGAAATGTTCGAGACCCTCGATTCGACGCCTTCCATCAAGGTGCACCAACCGGGAACATCGACAAAGCCTACAGCTTTCTGGTAGACTATCAAAAGGACGAGATCAAACAGTTGAAAGCTGAGATCAAGCGCACAAAGAACGAAGAGGAGAAAGACGTCCTCCGGCGAAAAGTCAACAGCATGGAAAATCGACTGAAAGCCAAAGCTGCCAAGGAGCGAGAGCAGGAGGTCTTGCGGAAACATCGTAAAGAGGAGAAGGCGAAGGTGGAACAAGGCAAGACGCCATACTACCTTAAGAAGAAGGAGCTCAAAGAGAAGGCACTCGTGGAGAAATTCAAGGGCATGAAGAGTAAGGAACGACAAAAGTTGATCGAAAAGAGGCAGAAGAAGGAGAGCCAGAAAGAGAAGAAGAAGATGCCTGAGGCGAGGAGAATGGCAGTGGGTTGAGAGGGCGTGGTCGGTCACAGAAGACGTGTTTCATCATCACCCCGTATCTTGACACGCTCGTCGATGCAGGCTGGCCGCGCGTCAACCAGCTGGTTGCAGAAAACCACCAAGCCACCAGCTTGACGTTTCCGCCTATTCGTGCCCTGGTCTGGTGCTCGCTCTCGGCATGTCGTCGTCATCTTCTGACGCTAAGTGACAGCCTGGTGAGCCTCATCGACTGGGAACCACAGGTCCATGCTTGAAGCTCGTGTCGCTTTGACAAAGACCAAGACGGAGAGAAGAGAAAACCACGACAGCCAAGCGGCCCGCACTCTCGCTCGCTCGCTACCAAACGACAACTTGGCAGATCGACTTCTCTTCTCCTTTTGGGCCCACGGAACGGACGCTGTCTTCAGGATCGGCCGAGGGGCCCTCTAGCTCCGGACCGAAGCGAAACCACGATCCAAAAAATCATCCACGTGAACATCAGCAGAAGATGACAGAAGACGTTCTAGACTCAAAAATTGTAACACCTGTGCGCGGTCAGATCATGGTACTCCCCTGCTTGGGACACATCTGCGGTCAGCCCATCTGCAAGCCGAAGTACAGGCGCGAGAGGGCCAATATACCGACAGACAGCGCTAGCATAGCTGCGCGTGGCTACAAGCAAATTTATGTTTTGCTATGCTGTAGTCCGAAGAGCAGTAAAGCAGGTGACAACCAAAGTAATTCAACGTGAGATGATGTATTACTACTCCATCGCCTCACATCCATCTCCCATTCGATAAAAGCTACCCGAATAATACCTAGCTACCACCGCAGCCACATCTCTCTTCCCCAATCGTAACCCCACTAATCCCCCGCCGCAACAACACTCTCTGTTCTGCGCCAGAGTCCGCGAACCCAAATACATCCTACGCCATTAAATTTGCCAATCAAATATAAATCCTGAAGCTGGAACTCTCATATCCCCCTCTTTGCGAGGGTCATCCGTCATATATGATAATGTAGTCAGTTGGGGGAATAAGATAAAAGCCGAGCCAGAAGAACACATAAGAGAAGATCAAGAAACCAAACAAACGTGCGTGGGTGGTGAACAACAAAAAAAGACATCTCGCATCATCCTTCCCGGGAGACGCTCTCGCTGATAGAAACGATCGATCTTCTTTCTTCCTCGTCAAACATCACTCACCCCACATGAGTGACATGCTTTCAATTCTTTCGTGGAGATTTTCTTCAAACATTCACCGTGTGCCGAAGTATTGCCTCTTTTCTCCACATCCAAATCATGTCATAGAAATCCGGTTGTTTGGTTGTAGAATATGCCGGTTTGTAAAAATATTCGCTGCTGGGCAATAGGCCCACGTCATGAATGGAATAAGTCCCAGGCACGTTCGCACAGGCGGAGAAATTCCGCTCGCCTCTCGGCGCTGCTCATGTTCGTCTTCCAGTCATCATCGTCTTCGGGGTGCCCGCGTGTTGCAAATGTGGTCCGTTTGGGTTCAGAGCGATTGAAGGCGGACGGGGGACTACCATTATCGGCCTCAAATTCGTCGCGTCCGCGTCTTCGACCGTTCATTGATTGAGTCCTGGACAAGTCTGGGCGAGCACCATACTCGTGTTGCCCAGGCCGTTGTGCACCGGATGTTGCATGCTGGCCACTGTTCGGCATAGGAGAGGGTGGCGTTGGCGGTTGAACGCCACCATAATGAACGACCTTGGGCATAAGCTCATCACGTCCTCCTGAGAGTCCTTGCACAGCTTCCTCCGCAGATCGAAATCGTTCACGAGCGCTCAACGGTGGATGTTGTGATTGCTGTCGATGTGAAGGTGGGAACCCTGGCGATGGCATTGCGGGTTGAATGTTAGAATGTGAAGAATGTCCCGGAGAATTGTTGTGCTGTCGTGGACCCTCAAATCGATCGTTTGCAAAAACATCGGATATGGGAGGCAATCGATTGTTCGTTTGTGTTGCAGGTACATGATGGATGTGACTTGTTTGGCTCAATCCGCTGGGCCCATGCTGTGCGTGGCGGCTCGCAGGGTACTCGCCAGGACGAAGGCCGGTGAAAGTCTGGTGGAGTGGTGCAGATTGTATCACTCTATCATGAGCGAATTGTGCGGCAGAGGGAGCTGCGATGGAAAGGCCTGGCGGCGGTCCTTTTCGTCTCGAAGTGCCCGGCGTTCTCGCTCCTGTCTGTACACCAAAGAGCGTCGTGTCTTGAGTGCGTGGACCATCCTGCTCACCAGAGCTGCCTGACTTCCCTCCCTTTTGTCGTGCCTCAATGATCTGTCGTTGTTGGTCGCGGACGTCCATGCTCCGCTGCAGTTGTTCGCGTAGGGCCGGGTCGTGCGTAGCGAATCCAGGCGAGAGACACGCGAGGCCGACGTCGTGGATGTGCAGGCCCGCTGACTGTCCAGAGGTCAATGGCGCTGAAGGTCGAGCGGTTTGGGGCCCGCGGTTCGCGGCCATGCTCGACGACAGATCGAGTCGCTTCGGTCGAGGTCTCGAGGACGCGAGCGCTGGTGATCCGGGCTCCTTCTTCACCTTGATCGTTGGGGGTGCGCCGTTTCGAAGTCTGTGCGGTATTAGCTGCTGATCGAGTCCCGGCGTTGCGCAATGCAACGTAGAAGTCGTGACGCACCCGTTGGGTGAGCTTTTGCTTGCATCAGCTGGCCGTGATGCGCTTTCTGGTGAGCCGCCATTGCTGCGGGCACGCTTTGCTGCCGGCTCGCCGCTCGCGGCCGAAGCGTGATGTGTGGAGGGAGCGATTGCTGTGAACTGACGTGGAGACATGCGCTCGACGGAGGGGGCCAGCGTGGTCGGCGGCGCAGCTGCTACAGCGGTCGACATGGTGGCGGAGGAGCGGAGGGGTGGGAAAGAGTGAGGTGAAGAGGGCCGTCGCCCGGCGCCAATCGCAGCGGGTCGAGTGAGGCCTGGCGCAGAGTCCAGGTGTTCGCTCGATACAGCGTAAACTGGAGCAGCGATCGGCTCTGCAGCAGCGCTACCGAACCGCGAGCGAGCGAGGGAAATCGCCGAGGAGGGGTGGTATTATTGGCGTTCGCAGCACGGTGCTCTCTTGCGCTCTCGGTGCGCAGCGGGCGGGATCGACGACGGCGGCGACGGGCGCGTCGGTGGTGGAGGAGGAGTTGTGCTGGCGGTGTTGGGGCAGTCTTCACACGAGGGCGGGCGGACGAGGGAATGGGTCGCTCAGGCTGCTGAGACAGGCCGGTAATAGGTGATACACGACAGCACTCTGACCAACGAGCGGCACAACAGGGGTGGCACGCACAGCGCGGAAGCTGCGATCCTCTTCGGGCAGGCGTTGCTGCTTCTGGCGGAGGCCATTCGCTCGCTGGGCCCCAGGCCGCCGCCTCTCGCAACGACCGAACGCAGCAGGGTCTCGTCTCAGCTTTGCTTCAAGGCCCGCAGCACGACAGCCTCCTCCAATAACGCCGACCACACCGCGCTCCGCCCATCCGCTCGCATGCAGCACCGCTCCGCTGCACTATACTCGCCACTCTACATTCCATGCTCTCACGACAACATCACTGCAACTGCAACACAACACCATCAACACATCACCAACACAGCATTCATCCAGCAAATCCAGCCCTGCAAGCCTTCGGCACGCCAGCGAACACGAGTCGGCGGCGCTCGAGCCAGCGGTAGCCTATCATTTCTGAAACGGCAGCCGCTGCGACGCACAGGGAGAAGGCGCTAGTTATAGAAAAATATCGTAGATCCCTCCACCAAGCCAATCCCCATCCATTGCACAGCTCTGATTGCGACACTCCCTCGTCTCCGTGCTTCCGCCGTTGCTTGCTTGCCTGCTCGCTCACATCAACCTCTCCACCGCTGCTGGTGATCCCACTTCACCCTCCAACGCCAAAGTTTGACCTGTGTTTCATGAAGAATACCCCATCGTCTCCACGCCCTGCCCTGGCTTTTGCGAGACTTTTGCTCCGTCACGCGACCGATGGCACATGGCAACCGGAGATGCTCATCGTGGTAAATGGAAATTCTGTCATTCTGTCAATGATTTGGAAGCAAGGCTTGGCGAGCCAATATTTTGGCTGCCAACTGTTGGCGCCTTAGTCAGTTTCAGCTTCCAACGTCGCCGCCCTGGCGTCGAGTCACCACCGAGCATTTGCACCTCGACCCAACCGCCATCTGCACGTGTCGTTGGTGGCGCGAGCCCAGCGCGTGTGAACAGATATACATAGCAGCAACGTGCCACACTAACGGCGGCAAACGACATGCTGTCGCTGAACTTTCCTTCTGTACAAGGTATATGGACATTTGACGTGTGACGCTGACGGGCTACGAGTATTTGTTGCGTCACCTACGCTAGCGACTTCATGTCTGATTGCTATCCACACGCTCGACCCGCCTATCCACCGCAGGCGAGCAGCCCAAACAGCAAATACGTTCGCCGCCAATACTCATTGGCGCTCTTCTTCAGACGCTCGTGAGCTCCCAACTCTAACTGTATCTGAACTTTAAGCCCTTCTACAACTTCGTCAAGCAGATCCTTGTCCCCTGTGTCCGTATACAGAACCCGCTGCAAATACTGAACATCAAACAAATGCTGTGCGAGTCGATTGTTGGACTTGTTCCTCGGCACCGTCTTGTCTTCATTCCCCGCAGAATTCGCATCTCCTTCCGACTGGTCTGGAGCGGCATGCCCATTAGTCAGGGGCGACCCAAGGGTCTGGTCGATCTCGGAAAAATTGATCTTGTTTCTCAGACTTTCAGATAAACACTTTTTCAAAGCCTGGACTGCGGCGGGGCTCCAGAGGTCTTTGCCAAGGTTCGACATGTGTTCATGCACATTCTTCAGAAGCCGGAATGTTGTTGGAGAAGGCTGAATCGGAAGTGGAGGCGTTCCATCCCATAGTGTCGTGGCAACGGAGTCTGGCTTTCGCAAATTTGTCGCAAACCTTTCCACATGATCTGCAATGGTTGTTGCTGCGATTCGCTGGTGTAAGGCAGCAATAAAAGTCTTGCTTGGCTTGATGGACTCCACATCTTCGACCAGGTCTGCAAGGCCTCGGCGACGATCTTCTACTTCACGCAGAAGTCGGATGAGCAGTGCCGGGTCTGAATCTGACTCGAAAGACTTCTCGATTGTCGTGAACATATTCTGCAGGGACGTGCTCGTGGCTTCGTGTAGCTTTCGTTCCAATTCTTGAGGGTCTCGAGTGCTGAGCATAACCTGAAGTGGTTCGTCTTCCATGAGATCGTCCAGGTCCAGATCCAAGTCATCGTCCCACTTGCTTGCACGCATCCCGGCAATGGCCTCACCATAACCGCGCAGTCGCAAGAGCCATTCGTCCAGAACGGCTATTGAACCATGCATGGGTTTAGTACGCCCGTGATGCCTATTGAGCACATCTTTGCGGAATTGCATAACCTCCTTGCTAGGGTCCATTTCGGTCGTGGCGGCTGCCCACATGCTCACAGGACTCGACTCAGACGCGTCCGATTGGGCATTGGGCACAAAGTCTTCGACCGTGGTCGCCTGCTTGACGAGCGATTCCAACCTGTCGAGGAACGCCTTGCGAATATCGTTCAGGGCTTGCGCTTGGCTATCATGGCGCAGTTGCGCGCTGAGCACGAGATACTTCGAGATCACCTTCTGTCGAAGTTGCAGGACCTTGTGAACGTCCTCCTGATCTACCAAAGCAGTCCGGAGAGTTTGCAATAGGCATTCTTGTCCCTGTCTGGCCCAAGAAGAAATAGCAGCACTGACGCTCGAAGCCTGGAGTTGATCGTGTCGAACCCAAGGATGGAAGTTCCTCACATCCTCCGTAATCCAGCGTTCGTAGACATCCAGACTCAGCTCGTAGATCGCCCGTACATCGGGATCGCGAACCAATGCATTCGTCGTGACCTGCGACAAAGCTTCGGCGAAACGTCGTGGAAAGAGGTCCTTCGTATCCGACAAAGTCTGGCTGTACAAAGCCAACATGTCTGTTATACTCGTTTCCGTCGCCGCCTCAGCCATAGTCTCCAACTGCTCAAACCTCAGTTGTAGAAAATACCGCAGCACATCCTGAGGAGCAGAAGTCGACAGCAAAGCATACGCACACAGCCTATTAATCGTAACCTCCCTGTCCAGACCAATCCTCGAAAGCGCCCTTGCAATATACCCCAAAAGCCTCTTCCTCGCACTCCCCAGCTTCTTCTGCAAACTGTCCAACACAGTCGGCGGCTCCTCCCCCTCCGCAAGACTCTTACACAGCAGCCTTGCCAAAATAAGCACCTTCGCAGCAACCAAAGCATCCCCACCATTCCTCACAACCCTCAAAGCCACATTAATCGCATTCTGCAAAACCTTCGTCTGCGCAACCTTTTGTAACCTCTCACTCTCACTCTTCCCCATCTCCCTCCTCACACGCTTCTGGTTCGCGCGAATCAGCTCCAAATTCCTCGTATTGCATCTCCTTCCAATATCCGTCATTTGCGTTTCCACATTGTGGATTTGTTCGTCCATATCGATGATTCGCTCCGCGGTGCCCAGTAAATCGCGATAGCTGGCTCCCACGAGGGAGCGCAACTTTTGGCGGTTGTCATCGATGTTTCGGCGGAGCTGTTGCTCCAGTTTGCGGACGACTGGGAGAGGGTATTGGAAAGCATCGTCCCAGGATTCGAGAGTCTTGGGATCGGGTGGCTGAGTGGTCATGATAACATTGTTGGGGTCTGGAGTTGGGGGGAGATTGACTTTGGGGTGTTGTTGGCATTGATGCTTGATGCCAAGATCACTAGCTTATGTTCCACGTTGCCTTCACATGCAAGACCCCATGTGCGGGAGAGAGGCTGGGAGTATATTTATGAGAGGGTGTCTTCATTGATGTGATTATTTGTTTATATACATTGTTGGCTGCCTACTCAGGCCAACCAAATACATCTCCTACGCTAGTTATACTCCACCTCACGCCCACGAGAGCAATGAGTGCTGCTACAGTCTCAATGAGCAGCAGCGATATCACGGACAGCAGCATCCTCGGCATGAAGACCCGGTACAACATCAGATGCCGCCTGAGCCAAGCTGCCTCGATGACTGTCGCGACTGCAATTGCTGCATAGAATAGGATGTGGGTGGCCATGCTTCCAGCAACGCGACCCAGAACTCCAGTGTGTCGAGGAGGCACCTTCCACAGCATTATCGCAGGCACTGCAATGGCGCAGAGTATCTGAGGCCCGAAAGTGTTGAGCACGACGAAAAGCGGAGTCCAAGGGTAGACTATCGTTTTGAGTGGGATGAAAGCCGACTCCCATTGTATCGTGACCAGCGCCGCTTGATGTCCTGTCTTGAAGAAGTGGAAGCTGCCCAGCAGTGCGAATATGATCGGTCCAAGTGGTGAGCGACGTAAATTATTGGCGTCAACGATCTCGAGCACGTTCAGAATCTGGACCATGCAGAGTGCCAGGGCACCTTGTCCCATCGGCTTTTGAAAGAGCAGCAGCGTGAGTATCCACGCACTTGGTAGCAGAAAGTATCGCGTTCCGTGTGTGTTCGAGTAGCCATAGATCATCAACTTAGGCCTCTTAGCCGGACCGTTCGTACCAACTGTGGTAAGGACTGGGCTGGTGGGATCCGACTCGCTGAGAGATTCTGATTTAGCCACGACACGATCCGGTTCTTCTTGCTTGACCATGAGCATCGGAGATGCGAATATGTAGGTCGCGTAGCCGGCCGCGAAGGTCAGCGCAAGAATACTTTGCGCCATGTATGTACGCACTGTCTTCAAGAAGTTGCTGGAGTACTGCGGGAACCATTCTCCATCGTCCGCGGCATCAATCGTCCAGAAACCCGCCACCATGACCAGGCCCAGGCGCAACGCGATTCCAATCCAAATCACAGCTGAACCATGATAGTTGGCGCTGCGCTTGTAAAAGTGCGTGATTGCACTTGGCAGGATCAGCGCAACGGAAAGAGGTATTGCGAGTTGCCACTTTGAAGACGTGGAAGAGGTGGCCGAAGCATAGTATGTCGATCGGCAGAACGGCATCTGTTCTTCGCGGCACAATCTTGAAAACGAGCTGAGACGTGTTGCAACCAAGAAAGATACTGCGTTAGTGGCACCCAGCCACCTATCGTCAGGATCGCCTTGACCAAGTGAGCTTCCGAGCATGGCGACCGCGAAAGTAGTCAAGAGAAAGAGCAACTGTTCATCCTCCCAGATGATGAATGAATTAGCAGCGAACCCACCACACAGCATCAAAGTCGACAATGTACAGAGCCAACCCCAGAAAGTCGTAGGCCTAGGGATCCGGAGCAGCTCCAGGGCTGGCCGGAACATAGCCAGAGTCGCCGTAACACCTCCGAACACTGCTCCAAATGCAATCGACTGGACCCCGTGCTCTGTTGTCAGAGAGCCCACAGCTGCACCAGCTGCCGCACCAACAACAGCACCTATAGTTCCCCAAGTAAACAGAGGAGGAGTCATGGCAGCTCGATCTCCGCGAACGATGCCTTGCGCATAGATTACAACTACCAGAAAGGTGCCGATCAAGGCGATGATGCCCATGGTCATGCTGGTGAGGTCGAATCTGGCCCATAGCGATTTACAGATGCGCAAGTTCTCGGTCTGGTAAGCAAGAAACGCATCCCATGCTTCTGTGCGCTCTTTAGACCCCCATGACTGATTCGCAAGCTTCCAGAATTGATCGGTGGTAGACGAAGTGGAGTTTCCCAGACCACGAGCTTTCGCGTACTCGGCCTGATATTTGTGAATTTGAGCTGCGGTCAAACGACTTACTTGCGCAAGATTGTCGTAGTTGGGCTTCAGTAGAGTGGATGATCCGTGAAAAGCCTCCTCGATGGGGTGTCCCAGGTTATTGAATGGCACTGGTAGACCCAGGAGTAAGGACAATGTAGGCACGAGATCAATCTGCGCCACGGGCCTCTCCTTCGCGGTCGGAGGCGGAAGTAGCGAGTCTTTATCCTTTCGGCCAAAGATACCGCGTTTTGAGTACATCCAGAGCGCAGCCTGAACCTCGTCATCAGACTCTCCTCCATGATCGCCTTTGACGTCCATGCCATGGTCTCCCATGACTACGAGTAGTGTCTGATCGTCGAGAGCTGCCACAATACGCCGAATGACATCGTCCATTTGCTTCAATTTATCGTTCATAGCAGGATGATCCGGTCCATATCGATGCCCAGCGTGGTCCACGCCCAAATAATGCCCGAAAATGACATCCCATCGTCCAGACATCGATGGGTCCAAAAGAGGAAATATATGCTCATTGACGCCGTTGTCCACTGTATGCAAATCCCACACATTAAAAGAATCGTAGGCTTTCGTCAAGTTTGGCTCGAAGTAGCCAGGAAACAGCGAATGCCATGTATCGTCTCCGAGATGCACCACCTTCTTGCCCGCCTTGTACAGCATTTCCACAATATTGTCCTCATCAATGGCTGTCCCTGCAAAGTTCGATCCCGCATCAATCAGCACTGGAAGCGTACCAGTCGTCAGTCCCTTCAGTCGTTGTAAGGTTGTCGTGGGCGGATCTGCAATGAAGGGTCTAAGAAAAGCATTTTGCGGCTCGTTGACCGAGGTCTCGTACAGAACGGGCAGCGCATCGTGGAAGTGTTGTGGTGTTTCAGCGCCCGCTTTGGGCTGGAAGGGCGTTGTGAAGTCGTAGCGCAGAGCGTCCACGATGATGACCACCGCCTTGTCGAACGACTTGGGATGCCAACAACCTTGCTCTTGCGACCCGGGTGTGAAGTCTTTGGAGTGTCCGGTCAGGTTGATCGGGGGGTGGGCGCATTCGGATCTGTGTTGCAAGACGAGTCGCGAAAGGAGGAAGCCATTGAGAAAGAGGTAGATACCCAGAGCGTGGAAGATTCTGCGCTGCTATCAATTTCATCATCCTTGATATGATGCGCGTTCAGTAGACGCACAGTATAAGCAGAAAAAAGGCGACGACCAGGCCATGTTGTGCTCGGAATTCGAGCTGGCGCTTTTTGTTCTGCGCCTTGATGTCCTGCGTCGCCGCCTCTTTGGACGCCTTGGCTTTCGCGCCGTCCATGATTGGTTTACGAAAAACAAACGAGAAGTATTAGACAAGCATTGTACAAGAAAGTAGAAACGTGGTGGTGCATAGACCGCGTGGATTATAACTAGGAAAGAGGACTTTGTCAAGCGTGGGGAGCTACTGCTGAAGCGGAGACTTTGGTAGTCTCCGCAGGGACTACTTTGTGCACATTGATGATCGGTCTGTGTGTAAATGAAACCTGAATATTTTACACCGTTTACTATACAGAAAATTCAGGAAGAAACACGCTCGGTGTTACACTGCTTAATGGACCGCGAGAAGAGAGTCGAGGCGAGCTCTGCGCTGCCAGCAGTAACACATTAACTATGCCTTTCTGAGTGCCCTCTCACTTCTGGCAGCGCGAAAACATCTGCCTCAAACAGTATCGCGTGCAGCCTCGGATAATAGCACGACGTCTGGTCATGCATGTACGGGTTGCATTCATACATGACCATGTTCTGTCGGCCGTGAAACAAATAACAAAGTCGCAGACTCATGCTCGTGCGGGTCGTGAGAGCTATGCTCTGTTGTCTGGAGTACGAGTTGAAGAGTGGTCATATCGTCGTGAATCAGCTTCAGTCTTGTTTCGTGCTCGGCACTTAGATCTTCTCAAACTTGTCGTAGCCTGGGGCGTTTCTCGCCTTTTCAACCAGACCTCCAATGCGGTCGAGGTCCAGCGACTCAAAGCGCTTGTCATCCGACGAGTAAGCAGGCAAGCCCTCGACTGGCTCTAGGCCAATGCCGTTGTCTCCTACACGGACCACCACCACGCGACCGGATGTTCGCTTGCCAGAGTCATCGACCTCTTCGGGGAAGGTGATGTGGATCTCTGGAAGAGGACTTGGAGGAGGGCTGCTCGAGTTGTCCGCCAAGCTCTGTTTCTCTGAATAGACGAGAACTGATTCGGAAGGTCGAACCATAACGCGTCGATGCGAAGAAGTCGTCGACATGGACGACATGCGCTTCTCGTCATCCTCGCTGTAAGGAGGCAGTTCCGCATTCCTGCGCGCTCGGCGGCGGTAGCGCAGATAGAGGAGTCCAGCCACCAGGAAGAGCGCAACGATCAAGAGGACCAGCAACACGACCAGCAGTGTGACCATGGTACGGTCAAACGGTGGAGCTCCATCGGTTCTTCGTGCCAAGTTCGCGAAGTGAGCGAACATCTTTTATGAGTACTGTCTGTACAACCGATGCATTCGGTATCTGATTGGAAGCGTCGAACGGTGGAACCGAGAAAGTTCGTCGTCGCACGCAAATTATGGATAACCGGTCGTTGGTATTCGCTGGAATTGGTGGTAGAATGACTGTATGCCAGGCACATGTTAGCCACAAGCTGCACATGTTCTCACAGACTCCTGCGCGCAGACATGACGGAGATTTGCTGCGACCGCAGTGATACCGGGCGCAGGGTGTATCGCAGTTGCACGTACCTGCTGCAGCGACTGGACGGCTCAGGTGAAACGAATGTGATGCGAGGCACTGAATGAGTGAAGTGCCGTCGCTGGTTCAAAGAGAGGACGCCCGCGGTAAGGGCAGAGCCGTTGTCGTTGTCGACGTCGTCCACGAGGTGGTCGTGTGCAGAAGAGACGATCACAAACAGGTTGTGCAAGGGGAGGACTGTGTGTTGGCGTTGTCTCGATGGGTGGAGCTCTGGGAGATTGCGGCAGAGCTTGTGCAGCCTGTTTCGGCTTAGCTTCAGCGACTGGGAATAGTTCTGTGCACATCACTTCTTCTTCTGCACAGCGCCATCTACCTCACTTGCTGCGCGCACAAGTCGCAGCAAGAGCACGATCAACACATGTGACTACGGACACTCACAATCATTCACCTGCTCTCGTCGATTGCACTTTGCTCGCCGTGGATGCAGTATACAACCGCTCGCGCTGGGATGCTAGGGCTAAGCGATATTTGGCTTCTCGACTCGACTCCGTTCGGATGTGCGCGCGGAATTCAATACTTTTCAGGCCAAGAAAACGGGCCACAACTGCAGCTGTCACACCTGCCAACGGATGACGAACGCCACGGCGTTTTTCGTCAGTATCTTTGGTCAATCCATCCAATCTAATGACTCTCTGTCCCTCTTCAGAATTGCAGTGTACGTTTTAGGCGCGCGTGTATTTAAGCTCGCAGCTCCGAGTCCCGGGAAGGATGACGGAAGGGTGCTGCCGAGGAGACGGCCCTTTGCTTTTGCCTGTCAGCCAACACCAACAACAACGACACTGCCCGCACAATGAGAAACGGGGACACAGAATCGTCAGTGATTACCTTTGCGCCAAGTTACTTCTACAATGGTCTGGTGACTCCCTAAATATAATTACAGCATTTGCAGGAAAATACCTTCCCAATGACAATGTCCATTATCCTGCTCTCCATGCATTACGTGTGTTCTTGTTGTAAGTGTTGATATGACTCCGTTAAGCACGGGTGGGACTACCGATTTCGAGGCCCAGCATAATGGTGGAACTTCGTTTGACGAGGAGCGTCACTCTGAGTTCGTCGTCTGCTGCCTCCTCCCCCTTCCGAATTTCTCTGTTGTTGAGCGAAAGCAGGTAAGTGATTGCCACCGGGAGGGCCCGTACCAAAAGGATAGCGTGAATCAGATGTGGCAGGTGCAATCGCAGGTCCACCATATTGCGAGCCAAATGGTGGCGGGTTGGGTGGTGCACTGGCCTGCGACGGAGTAGGAGGAGGCGGGGCTCCAGCCGGCCAATTGTCTGGCCGAGGTCCTAAGGGCGGTGGAACTTGTGTGTTGGGATAGCCTGGGCCGTAATGGGGATGTGACCAGGGACCCTGAGGAGGCGGGCCCGCACCCGGCAAGCTATTACGATGGTAGTAAGGCTCGGGTTGATATTGAGGGGGCGGATTGGGCCCGTATGGTGCTGAGAACCCCGAGGATGGTGGCTGCTGAACGTATGAAGGTAGTGGCGCATATGGAGTTTCCGCAGTATGCTGAGATGTGTGAGGTGTGCCAGTCGGTGCCCGAGAAGAGAAAGGGTTGGTCTTAGTGCTTTCCATCGTGTTGAGGCGGAAACGAAACATCTTACTTCCGCCTTCGGTCCCAGCTCGCATAGTATTACTTGCACGCTTGTTTTGCGTTCGTTTTGTTTCTTTGTGGGCTCTCCTCGACAGGCCATTACGTTCCGCTTTGCTGGTCTTGCCATGATGGAGAGGCCCGTCTTTGGTCTGTCGACGCAGACCACGATCACCGTCTTGACTTCCGCTGACATCAGTCGTCGTTGATTGGCCTAGGGATGACGCCCTTGATCGCGGCTTCCGGAGCTGAGTATCTTCACTCAATGCCCGAGAGGCCCTGGACATTCTCGACTCATCATCTTTCAGCAGTCTCGGATCTATTGCTCCTTCGCTGCTGGGTTGTTCCGAGGATCTGTCACGTAGGGCAGGTTGTCGACCCAGCACAGGAGACGCGGACTTGACGCCTTGTACTTCTTCTTCTTCTTTCAGCTCCGTCTCAGCGTCAGCTTCGATACCGACTTCGTCTTCTGGTCTCGGTTCGGACACCTCGTCACGCTTCACTCGTCTTGCCTCGATCTCGTGTGCAGGGGTCTCGATCCTTGTCTCCTCGACCCGCTCTGCCTCCTGCGGCGGTGCAAGACGTTCGATACTCAGGGGACCAGCTCTCGAAAACTCATGAACTGCGCGTTCGATACGCGGAAATGGCCGTGCTTCGACGTCTCTGCTCATTGGTCGGTGGTATTTGTCCCACGAAGCGTCCTCCCTGCCTTGTGCGCCAGGCAGAGAAGGCTCCGATCGATCTAGATCTGACAGCAGGCCGCCAATGGATCCACGAGGAGTCAATATTTGGTGTTGTGCCATATCATGAGAGGAATGGCGTTGGTGCTGGAACTCGTGAGGAGCGTGTCTGTGATGTTGACGTGGGACTGAATCTCGTCTTCCAGGCAGATTAAGGCTTGGAGACTGCAGTAGCGAAGCCAGTGCAGGGAACGTACTCAGACGGTTCTCGCTGCTCGACGTTGGTGACATGAGTGAAGGTTCCCATGGAGGCCTCTCGGAGTGCCCATCCATACTAGCAAATCTTCGAGGCGAGTATGGTATGGAACGTTCGATGAATTGTACCGTGCCAGGAGACATTTGCGGAGGCGGCTGATGGCGCAACGCAAATGGCGGCGGTCCTAGCACAGCACTTGGTGGTGGCATGTGATTTTGCTCATGCAATGGCACAAATGGTTGGTCCAGTCGACGTGGGGTTGCAGGATGTGGGACAGCTGCTCTCACGGACGGTCTTGAGGCAAGGTCACCCAATAGCTGCAGACCAACAGCCTCTTCATTCGGAATGACTGGAATGTTCGAGATTCGATCGACCTCGGTGGCAGCGTCTGCGAGAATGTTGGTGTTTCGAATGCTCTCACGCTTAGCAAGAGCAGCTTCTCGAGCAGTGCTGTCCATCACGGTGAAGCTTCCGGTGTCTTGAGAATCCTCGTTCTGCATGGCGTCTTGTAGCATCTTATGCATTTCGAAACGTTGTTGCATGTCCGCGATTGCTTTCTCCGTATCGAGCGCAAGCCGACTTCTCGATTCGTGTCGTGGGTCGAGCGGACCAGTCCTTGCAAATCGGTATCCTGTCTGCTGAGGCCTGGGCAGTACATCCCCATCTTCGTCATCGGTAACCTCCTGCTCTCGGTTCTGCTCAAGCTGCACGTATCGCGCAATTTGCAGTAGCTCGTACTCTCCTTCGTCCACGCGTTTCTGTCGCATATTCTCAACCTCATACTCAAGGGTCTTGCTGCATGCGTGTCTCTCTCCCTGCAACCTTTGCCATATTTGTTTACGGTTGTACTCAAGTTGTGCGTCGAGTTGCCGTTTGCGGTGTTCGAGTGCCTCGTCCAGGAGCTTCCTGACCCCTTCATACTCCTCTGTGCCTTCGTACTCGTTCACTTCTTGATGTAACGCCGGATTAGCCTCCAGTTCATCTACCGTCTTGGATGCGATCTCTGCTAACAGAGGTTTCAGTGCACGGGCTATGGCTCGGTATGCAGACTTGAGCTGCGCCTGCCGTCGCATGGTAGCCTCAATGTCGATCTCGTGATGATCTGCTCGTCGTCTCCCTGTCATCCGACGTCGAGGACCGGTCGTCGGAAGGTCATCATCATCTTCTGCATCTGCTAGATCGTCTCCGTCCTCTCCAACGTTCGCCACATCGTCTTCATCCATTTCGTCCATGTCCTCTTCCTCGGCAGGGTTTCCAGCATCAAGCATGATACTGTCTAAATGCTTGCCCGGGTACCTCGGGGTCGGATTTGTCTCCTCGGATACAGGGGACACCGGCTCTGAATCAAGAGGTGTCGCGGCAGGCGTGATCTCTGTGGACTGTGTCGCTGCCAAATAGCCGACGGCATCTTGCCCGCTAGAGCTACCTGCGGATTCTTGATCGGACATTTGGTCTTCTTGCGGCGCCACCACGAGCACGTCTTTGTAAGTGTTCAGATCTTCGTCCGTTCCGTGCAATAAGATCGCAGGCTTGGCGATTGTTGCTGCTTCATGTGGAATAGAAGGAGTAGAATATGTGCGTTTCCGTTTCCTGCTTGGCGACTGGGAAGTCTGCGGACCAGTTTGCTGGATGGGAGATTCCGAGTGATCGGAGAAATCTCTAGAAACCTTCTTGTTCGCAGATCTATGGGAGCTGAAGGACATATTGACGTCTGAAGTACTGTTGGCCGACTCGCCAGAGATGCGCCTTCCTTTGGGCGAAGATTGACTGCCAAGACTCTGTGCAGTCGTAGGGCGTACGCCGTCTAGAGATTCTCGGCGACTGTCGTTATCTTCGGCTGAGCCGTTGATGGAAGGCGTTCCATTTGGGCGCCCTTTCTTTGCAGCATGCCTCGTGGTCATGTGCAAGGGCTCTGATGGATCGAAGCGACCAGCTTTCCGGCCCAAGGCATCTTGCGTTCTTGGACTCATGTCTAGTTGACCTGTCTGTCGTCAGCTTTTCGTGCATAAATGCAGAGTATTGTAAGTCGTGCGATGAGTTATTGAGGTCGCGACCAAGCTTCTCGATCTGAGGGAACGATTTCGCAGCACAGTTTTCTTTCCATCTGCAATATCGATCACAAGTCGATCTTCGGATAGTATACGAGCAGATTGAACGACCCCATGATGATTAAGGCGCCGTGGGCGCTGGAACAATGCAGTGTTCTTTTTTCGCTTGCCTCGTGATTTGATGCTGATGCGGATGTTCCGCGAAAGTCAAGGCCGCCACGCCAGTACACACTGATCGAAAAACCGCGTGCAGACGTGACGTACAGTGTGAGAGAGTTTCAAACGTACCTTTGTGGTGCAATTATCGAGGCGACGTGCAGATGTGCCGGCTCGTCGTCGTTGTTGGCAAAGAGTTGTTTCTCGTGGATGGGGGTATCCGGAAGAAGGCGACTCGATTCGTGCCGTCGCATCCGCAACGATCAAAATGAGACCCGAGTAGAAGCCGTTGCCATCGTTCGACGACAGCACACTGGAGCGGCGTGACGAGTCGATCAAAAGGGCTGTGTTATTATGTGGTGCTTGTCCTGGTTGACACCCAGCCGTCTGATACTGGACTACTTTAGCGACGCCGACGGTGATTGGGTGCTCGGAAAAGCCGTGAACACGGCCAACTCCAAAACAATGCAAGAAGCAGAGACTGCACTCTGACCAACGAAAGATGACCTGCGGCAGGTAACGTCAAAGATGTGCACTTCTAGAAGTCTGCAAAAATACCTGTAATGTATGGGAAATCTCGTCGCGCGGAAGTCACTCCTCCTCCTGGCGCTACGCCACGACTCTTGGCATGACAAGCAGAGACATCGATTGCGCTGAGACACTTCACGGATTGTTGATGTTACTCAGTTTCGTGGACTACTCTCAGCAAAGCTATGTACAGTTCTGAAAGCGGCTAGCTCTCGTACCCGTCGACCTTCACAAGTCTACGCAGCCTAGCTGTGACTGGAGTAATATGCAAACGCTTCATTGTCAATCGTGACCCATGCTCGCGCCAATGACGTGAGATCTTATGTAGAGAATCCGTCGCTCAGTAGTTCGCTCACTTTTAATGCACGTGAGCGATCAGGCGCCTGGCTCATCAGGCTCATCAGGCTGATCGAACAAGAAATTGGCGGCCAGCTCTTCATTCTTGTCGCATGCGAAGTAAGCCTGAACGACCAAGTCCCGCTCGAAACCAAGGCGACAGAGCTGGTAGACGAGTCAGTATTTATCAAGATTTCGAAGGGAGAAAGGGTTCACTTACGCGCTCGATGGCCTCCCGCTCTTCCACAGTTACGCTAATTTCCTGTGCACCAGGCGGAAGAGCCACATCGTCGCCGGCATCTTCTGCAAGAAGCTGCATGAACTGCTCGGGGTGCTGCGTGATGATCTGCGCAAGTTGAGGGTTGCCGGCAGCGACTTGCTGTAAGATGGGCTCAAGCATTTGAGGCTGCTGCTGTACAACCTGGCGCAGCTGCTGGAACTGTGGATTGTTGCGCAGGAAGTCAAGCGCAGACGATTCTGTTTGCCCGCCCTGCGCACCCTGCCCACCGCCGAGAGCAGCACCTCGCCCAGCACCAGCGGCACCTCGGCCTCCTCCGCCAGCTTGTGCCGCAGCCTCGAAGAGATTGACTGGCTCGTCAGAACCTTGTTGACCGCCTTCGGTACCCGTCGTGACTGCTGGCTGTTGCCCTTGTGTTTGCGCCGGCTGTGGCGATGCGGCTGCTGGACGCTGCTCTTGTCGTGCACTCTCGGGAATACCGTTCAATAAGTACTCGACCGCACGATCGGGGTTGAAGAAAGCGGCGCGCATCGCGGCATCGATTTGGTCACGCGGGAAACCCATGGCCTCCATCCCAGCGATAGCTGCCGTGCGCTGCTCGCCCATGGCGAGTGCGGATGGGTCATTGAAAGAGCGCTCGTCGGCCGAGGCGGCGGTGGATGCTGGTGCGGGCGATGGCGTGGCCGGCGGTTGCGAGGTAGCAGAGGGTGCGGACTGCGCGGGAGCCGCTGGCGGAGCGGGCGTGCCAGCTGCTGGCTTCGCAGGAGTTGCAG